AGATAGATAGATAGATAGATAGATAGATAGATAGATAGATAGATAGACAGATAGACGGATGCCTGAGAAAGCCTCTGAGCAGGTGTTTATTCCTCACTTGCATAGGCAGGCCAGGTCCCTGGAATGCATCCTGCATCCCACAGGTTCATGCTGGGCAGAGAATTGCAGCCCTCCCTCTGAGATCAACTTGCCTATTTCAGTGAGCTTCTTTTTCTCTCCTCTCATTGTCTGCCTAGTTTGTGTTCCTCACCTACGTGCTGGGAGTGGCCTGGCTGGGTGTGTTTGGCTTTTCTGCAGTGCCAGTGTTTATGTTCTACAACATCTGGTCAACCTGTGAAGTCATCAAGTCTCCACAAAGCAATGGGACCTCGGGTGTGGAGCAGATCTGTGTGGATGTCCGACAATACGGTACCTCCTTTCAGTCCTCTCCCCATTACTTCTTTATTGTCTTCTGCCTGGGTCTGGGTTGTGATTAACACATAGACCTCTCTTTAGTCATCACAACACATTTCCTACCTTCTCCATGAATAGTTCATGTTCTTCTCTAATTTTGGAGGTAAGCATCTCTGGGCCCTTGCACTTGCTAAAAGATGTTGAGATTTGTAAAAATGTTTTTTGAGTTAGGCATATAGTTAAAAATAAGTCTTTTATAATGCAAAACTACTTTATAATGCAGTTCAATTTTTAAAAGACTTCTAGATAGCCACCGTAAGAATTTATATATTTTTTGCAGTTTTTCCTTTTTGCCCTCTTTCTCTTCTTCATTTGTATTTTTAATCTCACCATGTAGTCCAGGCTAGCCAGCTTGCCTTGACCCCCTAGCCCCGCTTCAGCCTCTTGAGTGCTGAGATTCTGGCATGTGCTCCCATTCCCTCTCCTGTCAGTTCCACAGGGATTTTTCACTTAACACATTTGCATGCCTGCCCCTTTGAAGGGAGTCTTTTCAAAATGACCAATTGCTTCAACTTATCTGTACTGAAAACCTCAACATAAACTGCAGACAGATTTCAAAAGTCATCACGATGGACTCTGGGGAAAGCAGTCCCCCAGTCAGAAGCTGGCTCAGACATTATCTTCTCACAAATGGCATCCTCGTTCCTGTGAGCAGCCATAGAAGAAGCCACTAGGGCCTCCAGACAATTAATTTGGATGGGAACTGACTTCCTTGCTGAGGGAAGGCCACATATTAGAGGGAGTGTAATTACTGCTTCCAAATAGGAAAACAGAGAAGAAGAAAGCTTTCCTTTAGAAATGAAGACGGAATGGGTCCTTCCAGAGTTCTCCTGAGCAAAGATGGCTCTTTCCTTTCTACATAGATTTTTTCATGTGGCTTATTCTCAATGTGTTATCCTATAGCATGGTATAAAACCCATCTAAAACTGCCCATAGTAGATGTCTTCTCACATAGGCTTGGCCTTAAAACACATCGAAAGGGCCCTGGGTTAGTTTTTAAAGTACTTGGAAGGCTGGGTATGGTGGCACATGTCTACAGTCATAGGAGTCAAGAAGCTGAGGCAGTAACACTGCCATTTCTCTGCCTGCCTGGGCCACAGAGTCAGACCAGGCCTGGAAACAAAAAGTTTCCATGAAAGAATATGTTCAAATAATCTCTGGGTTCCTTACAAATAACTCTTGTTGCCATGGTAACAACTTTTTAAAAATCATGTCTCTGCCCAGCTGGTTATTTTTTGAGGTTACTTGTTTGAGTTGACGTTAGAGATAGGAGAAAATATGAACTTAAAATTTCCCTCCCTTTCTTCCTTCTTTCCTTCTATCCTTCCTTCCTTCCTGGAGAAGTATAAATTGAGCTGTCCTTAATATTTAAGCACATCAGCCGGGCGGTGGTGGCGCACGCCTTTAATCCCAGCACTTGGGAGGCAGAGGCAGGCGGATTTCTGAGTTCGAGGCCAGCCTGGTCTACAGAGTGAGTTCCAGAACAGCCCGGGCTATAAAGAGAAACCCTGTCTCGAAAAAAACCAAAAAAAAAAAAAATTTAAGGACATCCCCATACATTAAAGAGGGAAAAGACTGGCATCCCAGTGGACAATTGTCACTGCAGACAGAACTTCTAGCTAGGAAAAGAATACAAGCCATGCCTCTCTGGCTCAGACACAGACACAGGTCCCACAGTCCTGTGACTTAAGCACCAGTAGCATGCTTCATGAGGGGCTTCCCTGCAAGTTAATAAACTCACTGCAGAAAAAACAAAAACCAAAAAACCTCAACTAGCCTTGAAAATGTAGGCCAAAGCACTGCAATACACACGTTGAATCTCAGCATTCAAGAGGCATAAAGGCAAGCAGATCTCTTCAAGACCAGACTGGTCTACATAGCTAGTTCCTGGCCAGCTAGGGCTATATAGTGAAGCCTTATCTAAAAATAAAACAAAATAAAATCTGAAATATACAAATACTGAACTTCACTGAACAGCATACAGTCTACAGGAGAGAGAAAAATGCCCAACTGTTAAAATCTCACATGGACTAGAGTGACTTGCTCTTGCTCTGTTGCCCAAATGGAGCTTATTCTTTGCCCTGCCTTGCCTGAACTGCAGTCACCAGGTACTTTGATCGAAAAGGAACATAGCTAACAATTGTAATTGGTTGGAATCTAGAATGGAAAGGTCTGCTAAGAACATGAAATGGGCTGGGATTGTAGCACAGTGGCTGTATGTGTATATAGCGTGTGCAAAGGCCCTAGTATTGGGGTGGGAGGGACCACCAGCACCACAAAGCACAACCTAAATTGAAGCCAAGCCATAGCTTGAACTCATATTCTGTTGGGGTTCACTTTGCAGGTATCATTCCTTGGAATGCTTTTCCAGGCAAAATCTGTGGCTCTGCCCTGGAGAATATCTGCAACACGAATGAGGTAAACATGCCACAGAGCTGAAGACTCACACACTTTGTGACTTACAACCTAAGCTGAGAAACAGGGCGCTAGATGATGGTCAAAGTGCTCTGAAAGGAAGGGCCTCCGTGTGAACTGTCGAACACTGTAACCATCACTCTTCATTTCCCACCTTCAATAACATTTCGGATGCTCTAGCCTTAAGGCAATGGGCTCTTCCTCTCTACAGTAGTTTGTGATCCAAAAACCTAAAAATCTGAGACATGACTTTTGGGAATGTTTTCACAAAAAATACGTGTCACAGGCAAATGAAAGTTAATTCCATGGTTTTTGTTGTTGTTGTTTTTTAAAAAAAGAAGGCTGGGCTGGCTAGGCATGGTAGCGCTTGCCTTTAATCCCAGCACTCCTGGGGCAGAGGCAGGTGAATCTCTGTGAGTTCAAGGGCAGCCTGGTCTACAAAGCAAGTCCAGGACAGCTATGGCTACACAGAGAAACCCTGTCTTGAAAAACAAACAAAGGTCTGGGGCTAGAAAGAAGAGTGATGACTTAGCAGTTAAGAACACCTGGTGGTGTTCAGAAAGACCGAGGTTCAGTTCACAGCACCCACATAGCAACATATAGCAACTCACAACCACCTGTTAACTCCAGTCCCAGGGGACCCAAAATGTTCTTCTGTCCTCCAGGGACACCACACACATTTGCATTATACATATATTTTATATGCATATGAAACATCCATACCCATAAATACAATTGAAAACAATAATAGAGTAAAAAGGTACCCTAAATTTGTGCATATGTCAGATTTTTAGTAAGAGGCCAGAGCTAATCAGTTAATCATTCATGCTTCCAGAACAACTTGTGATAAGGGCTTTTTTTTCCTTTCTTTTTTTTTTATTTTTATTTTTTTGTCCTTATTTGGCAATATACTCTTAACACTTTGAAACTTTCTTACCACTAAAGTATTCGTCAGCTGTGGGCTTACAACTGTTTATGAAACAAATGTCTTCAATGCACTGGTGGGAGTGTGTATATTTAAGACAACATGGATGTGTTGGAACATGGAACATGGGTGTTTTGGAAAGCATCAACTTATAGAAACAATCTGGCTCTACCTTATCTGGCTTGTCTGTTTGTATAGCCATAACATGGACTGCTGGCTCTGAGCAGAGCCTCCTAACCTTGGCTGCACATTGCAGTCATCAAGGGACTACATTAGATCCATGGTTGAGGCCAAGGTTTTTGGTAATCCAGTGTGATTGGTCTGGGGTGCAGACTGAACATCAGAAAGACTTGAAGTTCCCACAGTGATCATAATATGCATCCAGGGCTCAAAGGGCATGTGGGCCTGTGCCCAGGCCAGCAGCCAATATCTGTGAAGGCGAGTGAGATATCATTCCAGAACACATGTAAGGTCCTTCTCACCCCACAAAATGCTCACGGTGCCCTATTCTTTCCTAGTTCTACATGTCCTATCACCTGTTCATTGTGGCTTGTGCTGGAGCTGGTGCCACCGTCATTGCCCTGGTGAGTATCCTAGAACCACCCTAATGTAGTGTTCCTCCCCTGCTTCAGAACCACCAGTTTCCCTTTCAGCTTTTACCAGCAGATGAAGCAAAGGAGCTGTGTATTCTGCTGTGGTTAACTGTTCCCTCTGTAAACTTACCGAATGTCTAGTTTGCAGGAAGTACTGGTGGCTGCCTTGGCACCGACTGATGCAATTTGGACACTGGAAAGAAGAGAGGGTACCTACACCTACTGACTAGGCATAGCATGTTGCCTTATTGCATTTAGCAATTAGGTCCATGATTTCATTCAGGGATGGAGACTCATGTGAGGCACTGCCCATTTATTTGCAAAGAAATCTTGACTTCCAAATAGAAAGATAATACATAGTTGATCTCCTTGTGTGCAGAAATAATCTTCTAAGAAGTCAATTCAAATGCTAAGTTGTATATATTGAACATAGCCTGCTGGAGGAAGTACAGAGTACCCTCTTGGTTATGTCATCCCATGTAGATTTCAGTGTAAGACACCTTAATTAATGTATACTGTTGATGGTATACTAGCCAGTTCATGGCCAACATCACTATCATCCATTCATACCTAGATGAAGGTTCTCTCATGCACATTATCTCTGAAAGGCACTCGAACACCTTTCTTGGGAACTATTTTAGCAAATGTGGCACTAGATGCTTGTTTACCATGAGTGCAAAACACACGCAGCAAACTATCACCTCAGTAGAGCTCAGCTGGAACTGTGCACATAAGGGGACTCAAATCCTTAAGTGCTTTGTGTGTGCCTAGTCATGGGTGAGAAAATATTGTTTTGGTTATTACATATTTTACCAAGTAGCCAAACTTGGAATCTGCACATAATGAGAATCAACTTATAAGCAAATGGGCTTGCATGCATAGTTGTTTTGCTTGGTTTATGATTTGTAGAAAACTAGTTTTGAGGTTGGGAGAGCAAAGAGATTTCAGCTGCTTGAGGATGACCCATTCTCAGTTTTCCTAAGCATTAAGTCATTCCTTCCCATGAAATCACCGTGGTCGTGACCTGTTCTCTTGGCTCAGCAACAGGCAGGAAGAAGACTAATTGCTGCTGAGCAGGCAGTTTGGGAAAGATGAGAAGAAATAGGGCACTGAGCTTCATCTCCCATACTGCTGACCCAGCTCTCTATCTTGTTATTCTTGAAATACATCCAAGGCTTTTTAATAAGCTTACTGAGGGCAGAGCCAAGGACTTCCATTATGTATGTGTGATCAGAAACAAGGCATGTGCTAGATGAGAGAAAGCATCTGCTTTGATTAGAAGGTGGGGAGAAAGCCCTCAGACTATGAGCTGGCACTTCTCCCTGCCCTGGTTTAGAGGTGTCACACCATCAGCCCTCACTGTATCTTACCGCCCTGTTTTGTTCTCTTCCACCAGCTGATCTACATGATGGCTACTACATATAACTATGCGGTTTTGAAGTTTAAGAGTCGGGAAGACTGCTGCACTAAGTTCTAAATTGCATAAGGCCGATAAGGAGCTTTATTTAGAGAGCTCAGCTCTGTAGCATGAACACCACTGACACTCCAGACTAAAGCGGAGCCTAGGTTTCTGCAGTTTTACTACAGCAACTTGTAAATAGCTTCAGTTAACTCACTTTGCATGGTAGACTAAATAGGACTTACTGTACATGAATTACAAAATAATGGGGTCTGGCTATTCCCACAGTTTGAAAAGAATTGTTATTTACCAACACCAGTGAGCATTCTTTGAAAAATACTTTTCTTGAACTTAAACTCTGAGCAGTATCTCTCAATGGAATATTTACCCCTTGACATATCTGTTTTTTCCACTAGTTTTGCTTGCTTGATAACCGACCTTAGCGATGGGAAGGAGGAGTGCCGAAGGTAGAAAGTTAGAACCTGCTTTCATTTTGCCACACTCTTCTAGAAAAGATTTCACAAGTATAGTTAAAATGAAGCTTAAAAGGTTTTTATAGCACATGGTTGGCTCCTTACCAAATAGATGTCAGGTTAGACCAGATAAAAATTTGAAGGCTATCACCCTTTTGATTTTTCTGAAAAATGATTAGTTTTGATACAATGCCATCGCTTCTTTAGAACCCACAAAACTGGTAACTTTAAATTGTCTTGCGACATAGCAACTGTTCCCTCATAACTAGGTTCTTACATTACATGTCAGATTTTACTGGGAAGAGCAGTTGGGCCCAGAGCTGAAGGTCTCACCTACGTTGAGAAGGAAGTATGGTATGAGAAGGGAATGTGGTCTTTAAGGAAACTGAGCTGTGTAGATTTGTTTCAGGCAATGAGAAATACATGGGAAGGATGTGTGTGCCACAGAAACTGTGAAGACTGATAAGGATTTTTATGTGAAATGAACTTAGAGGAAACAAAATACTGGCAGTTATAAAAGGAAAAAATAGTTTTCATTGCTAAAAAAATTGTTAACATACAGACTGCATACTTAGTTTTTAATTTTTGTTTTGACATTCATTTAATTTCTCCATGTTAAATATAGACTTCTATAATCATTTACTCAAAATAAACATTTTTTCACACTTTGTAGGCCTTTTGGGCAATTTTTTTTTTTTACCCACAGGGAAGTCTTTGCTCTACATTTTTAAACATAAAAAGCAACGTGTTTCTGAACTTCTGCATTTGTCATTTAAAATTACCCTCAAAATGGTAAAAAAGCACTGTGACATATATATATATATATATATATATATATATATATATATATATATATATTTCATTTCATTTTACTTCTTCTTAACAATAACTTTGGTCATTTTATTCCTAAGTTCACTGTATTTGCATACTAACATTTCTTCAGCCTTGTAATATGAAGCATACTAGTAGAGCATGCTCTGCGTCTGGCAGCAAAAGAGTATTAATAGTGAATAACCTCGTCCTTCTCCAGCTGACCCATCTAATCTGCCTAGCAGCTCGCTTTGCCTTCTCACATGCTCACTAGCGGTCATGCTCACCCTTCTCTTCCAGATCCACTTCCTCATGATACTGTCTTCTAACTGGGCTTACTTAAAGGATGCAAGCAAAATGCAGGCTTACCAGGATATCAAAGCAAAGGAAGAACAGGAACTGCAAGATATCCAGTCTCGGTCAAAAGAACAACTCAATTCTTACACTTAAAAGTGTTTGCCAGAGCGTGTCAGCCAACGAATTTACAGCTCTGACACATCATCCGACAGCTGCTCTGCAGTACAGATGTGTATCCCACCAAACTAATGTAGACATACCAACATTTCACTCTCTGTCTCAAGCTGCTGGGGTGGATCTCTAGGAAAACCTTCCAGTGGGTAAATAATTTTCTTTAGAACAAATATTGGAGGTTTCACGTTAGCCATTTTAAAAGGCAACACTTGAAAGAATGACCATTCATCCTTTGGAAAGTCGTGGCATGTGCAGTTAACTGCTGGAGCCGGTTCTAACACAGGGGATGGAATCACATCATGCTCCTTAATGGGGACCTATGGCATGCCAGTATCAAAGGATGTTACCCTAGATTTACATATGCCACCTGTCCTCAAGTGTTATCAAAATAGAATTGGTGTGAAGTTCGTTTTTGATAGCTGACCTTTATTAACCTTTGACTCATCAAAGATGTAATTTTTTCCAAACTTAAAAATCAGCACCCCCACAGTCTCACACATTTATTTCCCAAGCCACTCAGAAACCTATCTTTTTAGTAATGCTAAAAGGAGCTGCAATTATGCTAAATTTATCAGTGCAGAAGCTGGATTCTGACTTGAGCTCTGCAAAATCAGCTTTATAGTCGATCACATCCTAACAAACTGGGAGTAAGGACTTGGTGATCATGATTCTTGTTTGGAAACAAATATCAGCTCTGCCTTAATATTTGCTTTCAATTTCTAATCATTTATATTGTAACCAGAAACCCAAAATTCCTTCATAGATTTTTGTTCCATGAATATCTTTCTTAAGAAGTGTTACCTTGTTAAAATGACCACCATTCTACGCCATTTTAAGTGGTCTGGACAGTGAGTTTACAGTTTCATATCAACTATCTAAAACCTAACTGCAAATTGACCACAGACCTCTGACCTCCTACTTTTATAGACTTTAATACGTAAGTAATTTAAATTAGGGTTGATATTTATTTGTTTTCTTATCTAAATCTTAATTTCCTGGAATAATAATGTTTGATATTCAGCAAGAAAACTGCTTGAGTTTAAGCCATCTTCAAAAGAAACTTGCCTTCTAACTCATTGTGTTCCAGAACATTAAGTGACTAATAGGTACTGGGTATTAGTGATGGTAAGTTCTGTGTTGTTCTTTCTGGAATGGTCCATATAACTGTGGGGTGCATCAGTGCTTTTCAAAGGGGCTGCATACTATAGGGTTAACTATGTATATTCATGTTAAGAGTTAACTTGTGGTTTGGCTGTTTCCTGGATTTTAAAACATATACATGTGCTGAAATGTATTCAAATGAAAGGAAGCATACCTTTATCAAGATGCTATTAAAATTGAACAACTATAATATTTCATTTGGATTTTTTTCTTTTGGTTAATGCTGAAAAAAAACGCCTATTTGGATTCCTTTTAATTGGGAGACGCTCTCTTCTGTGTAGAACAGTTGTTCCAAGATAGCTTAGTGTTTTGTTTTCCTGTTGCATGACAGAATTCAATATTTTTTCCAGCAGTGGAGGTGCTGTTAGAGTTCAGTGTTCTAGAAGAGGCAGTGTCTAAAGCCTAATTTTACTTTTCTAATTCTGGTAGCTACTGCCAGGAATTTTTGAAAGTTTTGTTGAAGTAGTCTAATATTTTTTATGTAAAGAGCATTAAATTTTGCTATGTATAAATTTTTGTAACCTAACAGTGAATCAATATTTTCTATCAGTGCCAAGGGCTTCCTGTAGTTCTATTCAAGTGTTACAATAAATATTTGTAGATAATAGTCGATACTTGTGTATGCTTATTTTAAAGATCTATTTAGGTGGAAATAGTTGTGGATGTACTAAAGAATAATGAAATAAAATTATAGCTTCATTCGCTTGCCTTTTTACCATATATAAATCCTATCTTTCTCTGTTCGCGGCATGGTGTCATTTTTTAATATATATCAGCAAGATTTTACATAGGTAGTGAAATATAGTCCATGGAAGAACACTATTGGTTTTATTTTGCACTAGCGCACATACATACATACATACATACATACATAGATACACAGGTTTTATTTTGCACTAGCACACACACACAAAATGTTTTTAGCAAGAGCAAATTGAGAAAATTTTGTAACCCACTGGGCTGTATTTTGTATAAAATGCTACTAGCACTTAAGAGTCTGTGAAAAGCACCGGATTGTCTTAATTAATTTCTCCAATAAAAATCCACCTACCTATAGGATTAACACATACATAGCTTAATCTTGGGCAAAGTAAAAAAAAAAAAAGAACTTTAATAAGGGTCTATAAACTGTTGACTCATTTTTAAAGCCCAAGTTTAGGGGGAAAGGTATATTTGGCGATATATTGAAATCTAACAGTTAATTTTCTAAGCAGCAGCACTAAATTTGTCTTGGGATTTCATTCTCTAACTTGAAATAACACTGTCAGGATGATTATGCATTTGGTCTCCACCTGACCTTTCTTTGTAGGCCCTGCCTTTGGCATTATGGGCACACCACCTCTCAATGAGGGGTTACCTTTGAATCACTCCCCTTCACTCAAATACTGCAGGTGAATGTGCAGGAGCCCAAATGTAATGAAGTTTGTCTCACTTAACACCGTCTGTTTAGCTGACATTTTGTGTCACTGGATAGGCCTCCTGAATAAATATAGTGGTTTAATAAAACCACAAGTAACCTTGACAGTAATTCTGCCATCAAACATAGGAACCTCCAGAGAGCACAGATTTTCCCAATTGCCTCTGGTTTAAAAAAAAAAAATTAAAGGATGAAAATGAGCTAGGTGGTGGTGGCACACACCTTTAATCCCAGCACTTGAGTGGCAGAGGCAGGCAGATCTCTATGAGGAGTTTGAAGCCAGCCAGATCTACAAAGTGAGTTTCAGGACAGCCAGGACTATTATACAAAGAAACTCTGCCATAGAGGGTTAAAAAAAGAAGTCAAAGTTATAAGGGAAACCTATACACTTAAAAATTAACAAATCCATCCATTATAAATAAGGATCAAAGATTCTACAGTAAAGATGCTGGCTTAATCCTGCTACAAAAAAATCTTAGACAAGGGAACTAATAAAGAATAGAAGAAGTTTGAGGTGTTTTTATTTTTACAGTTCTGGAGACTGAGAAGCTCAGTAACAAAGTGCCAGCACGTTCAGTGTCTGGTGAGGCTCAGGCCTTGACTTGTACAGTGTCAAGTTCTTGGTACTTCTGAAAGGGATGACTGCTCATTCATTCTATGTAGGAGGATCTGCTTTCATGTCATCACCCCCAGAGGCCCACCTCCTAATACCATCACACTAGGGTTCCAACACATGAATCCTGGAGAACCTACATGTTTAACCACAGTACATGGCAAAATATTAATCGAAAAATCTGTGTTCATGTCCAGGGAGAAAACTGTGCTGGGAGGATAGCTTCCTCTTTTATACATTATACCCCAAGTGTGGAGCAGGAGGCACACAGCTTAAACTTAGCAAATGTAAGTCTGGTACCTGACAAGACACGTTTTCAAATAGGTGTAACTTAAGACAAAACCAGAGAGGGGAATGTCATTTTAGTATAATGAATAAATTCCATGGCTAAAGAGAGGATTACAGCCTGGTCTACAGAGTGAGTTCCAAGATAGCCAGGGCTACACAGAGAAACCCTGTCTGAAAAACAAAAAAAAAGAAAGAAAGAAAGAAAGAAAGAAAGAAAGAAAGAAAGAAAGAAAGAAAGAAAGAAAGAAAGAAAGAAAGAGAAAGAACGAGAGAGAGAGAGAGAGAGAGAGAGAGA